TCTGACCGACCATACGTACAATACAAGTTGTTTTCGCGTGGGGGCGCCAGTCTTCTAGTAATTGCATTACCATTAATTTAGAACTAGATTTTAGTTCTATATCTTTGTGGCAACACGCTTACATTTTCGATACATTGATGTGGAAACGTGTTGTTTTTTTTGGGGGGGGGCAGAATTGATTTTGTTCACCAACGTTGTCTTTGTTTATGTGGGGATCTGCATCTTGTAGCCCATACGTTCAACCGTTCATTTCGCCTAGCATAGCAAAGCGTTGCCGCGCCTGTAGGGAAAGTAGTTCCAATAATAATAGTTAATACACATTTGGGTGTGGATAACTATCCTACGGAAGTGTATTTAGGACATGACCAAAACAAAAATGTCTATTACTATTTCGCCCGGGCAGATTACTAATTTGCCCAGGCGAATTATTATTTCGCCCGGCGGATTACTAATTCGCCCGGGCGGATTACTATTTTGGCGAATTACTATTTCGCCCGGACGGATTACTAATTCGCCCGAGCATGTTGTGACGTCAATTAAATTGATAAATATCTTCGAAAAAATGTTTACACGTGTCGCTGTGTCTCTTCCAGTTAGGAAAACCCCAATGATATTAATTCCAACCGCGTCAGTTCGACAAAATAATCAAAGAAATAAAAATGTTCAGAAATAGGTGTATTTACAGCTCGAATTAAAAAGGACTTTTAATTCAATTCAATCAAACACTCCTCAACTTGAAGTCAAAACAAAATAAAAGCAAAGAAAGTGGATAATGTAAACACAAATGAAAATGCAGATAATATTACAATAATTTATACAATAAAAAAAAGGATAAGCTGTCAGCAGTTACGTCTCCCGTGGTTTTGATCAGATCCAGCGATGACTGACGATTCGACTCCAGTCACGTCCGCAAACAGGCGAGTACAAAAGTTCACGGAGCGAGAATTAAAACATCAGAGAAGAAGGGGAGATCCGGGGACGTCAAAGGACTGCAGCAGGCGGGAAACTAGCGACTGCAACTTCCGGAAGGACGCAACTCGTCAGGGGACGGCCAGGGGTGTGATGAGATGAAAAGGTGATATGGAGGAAAGCGGAACAGAAAATTGTCACTCAGCTCCACAAGTGGTAGAAGTAGTAGTGCACAGGTCTCGTCCAAAATGACAAACGGCAGGAAAACCTGTGCCAGGAAAATGATGGGTTTACAAAATAATGAAAGTGTTCAGCGGTGATTCCAGTCCAGAGCAAGGAGAGTGATGTACTCTACACCAGTGCACGGAAAGGAATGCCGCACTAGCACACAAACAACCCATCACTCCAGGCCAGCCTGTTGTCCCCCACATTGTCTTACATAATACAAGTGAACCATGCCTGACACAGGGCAGTACCACAGAGGGTACATCTAGAAGAAATTTGATGAGGCAGCATAACCACCTTGTAAAAAGTAGACTTGCTTTAGTCATACACAAATGTAAAATAATGGCAAATTTGGGGGTATATGACACACGCTACCACATTTTTAATGTTGGATGAAGTAAACCGCAAACTTATTTATTGACGATACGGATGATTACTCACATGCTGAACTTCGATTATATGAGGATAATTCTGCTTTTGTTAATACAAACTTTAAAGATAAAAAAGTAATGGAATCTAATGTGAAGGTAACTAAGTGAACGTCCACAAGAAATATAGCAACTTGTTCGTTAACGTATATATTGACGATGCAGATGCTTACTCTCATGGGGAACTTCGATTAATTGAGGATTACCCCAAAAACCTAGTTTTTCTTAACTAAAACTTAAAAGATAAAACAAGAAGGCTATACATTTTTGCAATTGAGAAATGGCAATTTTAGATAAATTCAACGAGTGAGATAGCAATTTGAAATAAATTCCATTTGTGAAATAGCAATTTTCGTATCACAACAATGCCTTAAAAATGCTGCCCCATTATTACCTTCACATGCATGTAATATGCTACATGTGGCAGTGACGTCATATTTTGCCTCTAAATGTCATAATAGATACCACATGGTTATATTTCTAAAATTAAAAAAGTTGAGTAGTTGTTACTACTTCCAATAACCAACATTGGTTTTGTGTGACTTATCTTTCTTGATGCAAGTTATGCAAATGAGCTCAACAGTCCCATATTACCTGCACGGTTAATGTGAAAGTAAATGTAGGACTAAATGAAAGTCCACAAGAAGATCTAACAATTAAATGTACTTCACCGTGAAAATGTCTAAAAGAAAGTTCTCATTTTAGTCTCCTGACGATGACTCGAGCATGCTAAACGAAACGTTGAGACCAAAGACAACTTCTTTTAGAACATAAAGCAGGACCGTTCTTATCAGAACTAAAACTACTTAGCGAAAGATTATTATAAGCATGACAAGTTCTCGTCAGAACTATATATCTACTCAACGACAGTTAGTTTAATGTATTACCACATGGTGTTACCGCAAACCGAAACAATGAAGTTCTGATCATTACATTAATAATGTTGCACATTATTAAGTTGCGTGCCAACAGATTCTTTAAAATGTTGTCAGACAGTTTCTTTTGTCTCTTTTTTAGTTTTTGCATACATAAGAAGAACTTCTCTGATTGCTTGTATAGTGATCGATTATATTCGTACTAAATTCTTTCCATCTCTGCAATTCGTTCATAATCAACTTTACGTGACAATAACTCAGCCGTTTTGAAGATTGAAACAACATTGGCATCCGAGTTTTACACGCAGCACCCCTGAAGATCCATGACCTGTTCACTCACACAATGACTGATTTGTTACACAGTGCAACTAAAGCCTAAACTCTATCTTATTGCTTAAATATTTTTCTTCTGGCCAGCCACAAGTGGGACACAATATTCAGAAAGAGTGAACCATGTAGTTTTTACCTCTGTGCCTATCACATTGTAGTGTCCCACTTGCACCATACAGTTAGCTCGCGAGCCCCTCAAGCTGAACATTTTGGTCTCGACATCTCCTTCGGTGAAAAACTTGATGTGGATTTTTGCAAACCGACGATTGCGAAAGATTATTATAAGCATGACAAGTTCTCGTCAGAACTATATATCTACTCAACGACAGTTAGTTTAATTTATTACCACATGGTGTTACCGCATACCGAAACAATGAAGTTCTGATCATTACATTAATAATGTTGCACATTATTAAGTTGCGTGCCAACAGATTCTTTAAAATGTTGTCAGACAGTTTCTTTTGTCTCTTTTTTAGTTTTTTCATACATAAGAAGAACTTCTCTGATTGCTTGTATAGTGATCGAATATATTCGTACTAAATTCTTTCCATCTCTGCAATTCGTGACAATAACTCAGCCGTTTTGAAGATTGAAACCAACATTCACCAACCAAGTTGAAACGAATACACTGTACATGCTAATGCAGATTACGGAGAGATTTCCCTTGCTTTTTGGGTGTGGCACCCTCAAACAAACAAAAATGAAAATGGAACTTATTATTAGTTAGCACTGCGAAAGTTGTAAACTATATCCAATGTGACAATTAACGGAAAATCGGTCTGCGCTAGGTTATGGGGTTTTTGGGGTTGTTTTCCCAGTTAACCTTTGAATAAAGAACGGAAGCTTAGACTTGACTAAAGTCAGACTTAATCAGTATCCACAAGAAAAACTGAAAGCCCTGAATTCCACCATCACACATAACGCCCGAAGCGCGACAAGTGCCATAACTTTTATTTTTCAATTATAAACACGCATGCCACTTGTGTACGTTTACGCATAATTCGATGACCAAGCGAGCACCGGACTTCGGTCAAGTCTAAATTCAGCTCAGGCCTGAAACAAGCGCAATACATGTATATACAAAGCTTTTTGAGGAATTATTGCCTATAAGTATAGGCCTATTCTATGAACATTTGAAAAATCACAGGGATACTAATTTTAAGTAGTTTATGCCCGTGCAAGAAAAACATACAGCCACTTTAGTTAGAATGGTTCTTAAAATATTTATGATGATTCTTTAATTAGACACTCAAAAAAATTGCCAGATAGTGGCCGGGCCGGCTGGACAAGTTCCCCTATTTTCAGGATTTACCTGTGCTTCCTGTTCTACGTACAAAATATTGGGTCCTCTCGCATGCCTCTGAGGAATCAACAGTCCCGTACAATATACAATGATTAACCTATGCACATAATGAACAGTTGAAATTCTTCATGAGAATAACAAAAGGTGAAAAGAATGTCAATTCGTCACCGTTTTCACGAAGAGCCACATATGTCGATTTTAGGGAAAATGTGTTTTCAAGATAATCGCAAAAGAAGTTTCTTATATTTTAAAACTGCAAAAAGTACCACTTTGCAACAACTTTGTGAAGCAAGGAAACCATCACACTATTCTGTGTGAGCTGAATTTTTACATGAACCCAGTAATAAGACTTAATTCAGCAGTTAATTAGTGGAAATCAATTAGTAAAGATATGTGGCTCTTCGTGAAAACGCAAATTCAGGTTTCCGACATATTGGCCCTTTCTGTTCAATGTGTATTTCCATAGGCGCGCGTGAGTACGCGCGCGCAGCTGAAAATGTAACAAAGATATATGGCTCTTCGTAAAAACGCAAATCTCATTTGACCTACTTTTACGTATTTCCGTGCAATGGGCTTTGTACGCGTTCAAAGGGCCAAAATGTATGTGGCTCTTCGTGAAAACGCAAAATTCATTTATCCAGATTTTGGCCCCTTGCAACATTAATGTAACTTGGAAATTAATGATGTTTTGCTTACAAAAACATGTCAACATGATTAATACATTGTTTTAAAGCAAAATATTGAAAAAAATCAAAATCGAAAAAATGGTAATTTTTGACATATGTGGCTCTTCGTGAAAACGGTGACGAATTGTTATTTCGTTTTCAAATTTGCCTACTGTACTTAGTTTTACACAGATGTCTTCCCAAAAAACCTTAAGAATGACAATAGCATAAACCATGACGTTGGTAGAACAATTTTATCCTGGAATAAAATCACGGTGTTGAATCAACGTATCTCTTCAGTTGTCCAAAGCCAGCTCTGCCTCATCCAACGCACGGTGGATGTGATCAAACTTTGCCACCTCTTGTGAACCCCATGCTTGCCATAACAGCAGCTGGTACTGATTGAGACGCGCCTCCTGGTTGAGTGGTGGTGGTGATGATCCTGTGAGCTCCTGCATCGCCACCACGTGCCCGTCCCCGGCCCTAAGGAGCTTGTTCACTGGCCCACTTTTATCGTCCAATTCTGGAAGAAGTCCAAGAATGGCAAGCACTTCGCCGAAGCTGTGCTGGGTTTCTGAGTCGAGGCAAAGGACTAGAGTTTCGCCGGTGTTTGTGCCAATCCACAGGGTGTCTTTCACAGTTAATATACACAGTAGTTGGATGGCTTTGCTCTCAGTACTGATTTCTACATCATCCTGAGGTTGACATTCACCCATCGTCCCTTCCTTCTGCTTCTCCTCAGGCTCCTCATCTGTTACGTGGATGCCATCATCCGGCGGAGATATCAGACAAACTCCTCTCGCCAGCATAGTGTTTCCACACTGAAGGATATTCACAAGCTGCCTGTTAGCCATGTTGTACTGAAGTACTTGGGAGGAACGTTCGATGATGCAGAAGAGGCTGTCATGGTGGTGAGCCAAACCAACCACAGAGCGCTTTGCTGTTGAAGTCACTGTGATGCTTGATGAATCCAGCAACAAGATCTAATTTTTTGGAAGATGAAACGATCGAGTCTGTTAAATGTAATACCTCTCAACAATTTGATAAATCGTGTAGGTCTGAGATTGGGTTGATTTTGAAGGCAAGAAGGGAGGGTTAGGAACTGAGTAGCCTAAGGGTTTGTGCCGGGGGATTGGATTTGGAGGCGATACGGTATACAAGCTCGAATTGATCTCGAAAGCTGCGGGCTAATGACTTTGTGCTCGTACATGTGTGCCTTCTTGCCCAGTCTGTATGAGATAGATGGCGCTCTTGCATGTTAATGTCTTTGGCAATGAAATAAAGGATTTCCTATTTGTTGAACTACACAGTGCAAACTTGACCTCGATAATGCAAGTCTGTCTGCCCTCCCCTGAGGGCCATCAAATTGACACAGGGCCTTAAGCAGGAGCCTCAACGGCCTTAAGCAGGAGCTGGCTAAGGTGAGTTATAAAGCACAGGTGCATATGCCAACGTTTGTTACTAACTAACTAACCTACAGACTAACGGAGAGACCTAAGTTCTTGTAGAGCTGCTATACGCAGCCAAAAAGACTTTCTGCCTTAGGTAAATCTCATACCATGGTGAGACTTTGGAATGTACCTCGGTGCTAAGAATACGCAGTTTATTCCCGCAGGCTATCCACAGCTCATCTCTCTCAGGAACTGGCTCCAGCAGATTACAGCGCTTATTCTCAAAGGTTAATGTCTTCACCCGGGACCAAACTGGCTCCTGCTGCCTGTTGCTGCTGTCGTTGGCTGCTTGATTGTACCTGAAGATAACCACGTGACCATCAGCCAAACCAGCGAACAGGAGCCCGTGCGTGTCCTGGACATAAATACCAAAAACAGAAGCAATTCACGAAATCCTGATTATGCTACATTTGAAACATTTTGAGGAATGACAATCGGGCGCTTTCCGGGACACACTTATTCCTGTGAGAACGAACTTTGGGGGGGGGGGTTAACATTTTGACTCAGAAATCGAACTGTTTTGGTGCTAGTCGTGATTCTAGTCGCTTGTTTTACTTTGTATTCATCTGTTTCGAAAAATATGGGCTAATTTACTACGAAAAATCACCTTCTATTGTTTTAGATTATTCAAAATGCTGCAGATTTGTCAGTGTTACTGTTTACTTGCGATCGATGGGAATATATCTACCGTAGCGTATGCTTCCACCGCTCAGGCTGTGCTGCTCGATGCATGCCAAGTGCAACCTACAAGTATGGTACCAGTGCATCGCATGCAGCGTGGGGAAGGGCGAGAAGCAGTCAATACAGACCTATGGGTGAAACTCCTCGTCCAAGAAGGAGACTTATTTATGGTTGGAAATACGTGTAAGTTTCGTTACAGGCAGACTTGAAATAGGATAAGCACTCTAAAACATACAATTTTCTGCTATTTGAGGACTATGTGCCCCTTGCCCTTTATGTTTAATTCACCTTGTCTTTGATGGGTAGATAACAGAGGGAGAGAACCTCGGCGTCCACGTTGAAATCCTGCTTATCGATGGCTTGTGGTCCAAAGAGTTGGATGCGGTTGTTCTTAAAAAAAAAATCATTAAAATCATTGTTGAGTTGTCACAATCATTACTAAACAAATAACACTAACAATTTTGTAAGGTCCCTTAGCGAAGACAAGAATTTAAGAGATTTAAGTGATGCATCAATTGGAAGAATACCGGAATGGTAAATGGGCTTTGGACTCGAGAGTAGCAAGTATTATCATTACACACTGGTGTTCAGTCGGACATTCCGCTCGGCAAATCTGAATTTATTGAGTTTCAATGACTCCAACCCCTTAGGCGAAATCGGTCTGGGACCAGTTTACGGTTTGCCTGTATGTAGAGCCAAAGATCTACAAGCAAGATGTTCCTCTGTGCCCCATCGTGGCCTTCCGGGGATTCCCAACTTACAACTCAGTCCAAACACCTCACCAAGATCCTTCTATCACTGATAGGCAACACCGGACACCACTTCAAGAACTCCGACCTGAGTTTGCCACATTCCTTTTAAGATCTCACCCTGCAACTCGACAATTGGTCGGCTTTGATGTCGTCTCTCTTTCTTTATACCAATGCCCCCACTTCTGACGTCTGTAACATCGCCAATGAAAACTGCAACTTGATCCCACCCTCAAGGACCGCACTGATCTCTCACCGGACCAGCTTCATCATCTTCTCACCTCTGTCATCTTATCCAGCGTCTGGTGGCGTGATAATTTTTTTTCGAACAATCGGCAGGAACCTCCATAGGATCTCGAGCAGACCGCCAACGGGATTCAGAGCAGCATCCAATTCACCATGGAACAAGAAAAAGATGGATCAATTCATTTCTTGATGATGAGGTTTCGACAATCACCACTCTCACCCGCAACATCTACAGGAAACCAAATCACACTGACAGATACCTCCACAGCAATTCCTTTCATCACCCGAAGATCAAAGTTTCGGTCACAACCAGGTCCTTGTCTGCAGGGCCATTTGCGACAAGGAACATCTCTCCAAGGAACTAAATCAAATCACAACAGCACTGCAACGCAACGGGTACAAGCCAAGCAAAGTCAATCCTCAAGATCGCAGAACCACCCCAACCAGAGGGTCTCCTGATTCTGTACGCAAGGTCAACTAGTTAGGACCACTAGTTCCATACCCATCCCTACTTAAGGCAGTACCGCCAAACATATTCAACGCATCCTTGGGCATGGCATCCGAGTTTTACACGCAGCACCCCTGAAGATCCATGACCTGTTCACTCACACAATGACTGATTAGTTACACAGTGCAACTAAAGCCTAAACTCTATCTTACTGCTTAAATATTTTTCTTCTGGCCAGCCACAAGTGGGACACAATATTCAGAAAGAGTGAACCATGTAGTTTTTACCTCTGTGCCTATCACATTGTAGTGTCCCACTTGCACCATACAGTTAGCTCGCGAGCCCCTCAAGCTGAACATTTTGGTCTCGACATCTCCTTCGGTGCAAAACTTGATGTGGATTTTTGCAAACCGACGATTGTCACCTTCACCAGTCCAGTACCACAAATAATCCGAGTTCTGGCAAAATTAACCAAGGCAGAGTTATTCTAACATTTAAATTCATTACATTTCCTGTCGTGGTCAAATCTGAATGAACGGGTTTCACATTCTGGCCACTTTTGCTAAAACTTAATTACTCAATTTGGACAGAAGGGGGCATACATTCTGTGAAGTTTGCAGTGAGCAGTCATGAAAGGTTACCTAAACTCCGTTGAGAATTATAGAAGACACTTCTCAAATAAAAAAGCGAGGAATATTTTAAGTTTGTTTCATTAAGCATTAATTAAGTACTCATACATACTCATAAAAAATTTACCCATTCCTATTGGTCGAGAGCCGGTTTTAAACGGTTGATAAAGACCGGCTGCCAGGTTTTAAACATTTTTCCAGTGTCACATGAAATTTGGACTGTAATGAAATCCGGTGCCAATACCGTTTTACGGTTGAACGTTCACAATCCTCATGTAGGCATGCGCAATCCGGTTCGTTAGTGCGACGTTGTTAGTGTGCGTACTTCACATTGTGAAGCCATGGGTGAATCATATTCTCGATTTATCAGTTCTAGAGGGGGGGGCAGGGACATGTGCTCCCCCCCCCCCCCACCCATTAAATTTACATCACTATGACTTTGCGCCTCTTTTTCTTTTCTTCTTTCTTTTTTTTTTTTCCTTTTTTTTTGTGTGGCTTTTCCAGGGGGGGGGGACAAGCGCCCCCTTGCCCCCCCTCCTCGCGACGCCCATGGTGATATCTGGCGTGTGTAGTTCTTTTTTTGGGGGGGGGGTGAAAATAGCGAGTTCTTCTTGGCTAAGGTACTTAATGTACAGTATATGTTACAGGTGACTAACTCTCGGTTACAAATTACACAACAGCGACATTTTCATGGCCGAATGCGACCACCAGCGGAGCCTTTGGCTCTGCTGCACGATCCGCCATTATTGTACTTTATTCGTGATCGACCGCGTACGTGTATGGTACGTACCACGCGTCGTCGTCGGCGACCAAATGTACATTGTCGAGCCAATAAACAGTTACTGCGTGTTTAGCAAAACAGTCGTTCAGGTACTAGACTTATCACGTGTTCTCCATGCTGGATTTTCTTATGCAAATGACCCACATCACAGGGCGTCAAGGCACTTTTTGCACACGGCACTTTTTGCCTGGAAAATAGCGGACAGTTTTACGAGTTTCCCAAGATGCTCCTGTGAAAGCGGTTCGTGGCTGATAGCGGTCTGTGTGTGATAGCGCCCTCTATCAGCGATGGTTCGTGATAATGGTTTTTGGGTGGGTTGATTGTTCGCTCGTTGAATAAAAACACAAGGAGCGTCGAGAACCGAGACTAAGCACGAGTGGCACCGGAAGCAAACGCAACTTGAGTGTTTAGCAAATGGGCGCTAGTAATCAGTGGTGCGTGCGCGTGAATGTGGAAGTCACTAACGAACCGGATACTACCAGTGAGTCAGTATTTCAGAGTCCCGAATTCACACTACACTGGCACATCTGCGTTCTGCGCCATGCACGCAGTACGCGCGAAGCGTGCGCCAATTTCCATATAAGGGGTTGTTTACGACTACTCGCGAGGAGGGCCATACCATAGCAAAGATAAAGGGGTGTTTCGAAAAACATGCAATACAATTGTTAAACATCGTTGAAAAATTACAATTTTTGACTTGTTTGTACTTTTGGACCGAAAAGTTTTGAATTTGTTTACCGAAAAGGTATTCATTAATGGCTCGGGTCATTATCAGCATCCAGACTCCAACCGGTATTAAACATAGTGTTTAAAACCGGCAAAGTACACTTTTCTTCCCTTTTTAAAAGGAGAGTCTGCAAAATAATATCCAATGCAACATATTTCAACATCCTCGCTAGCCACGGTAGTACTACATGAGACGTCGGCAAACCAAGTCCATATTGTAGCGGAACAGTTAATATTGGCGCGCTAGGCTCACCATAGTTTAGTTGGTTGGTACGCGGACCTCTGTCCGTTGTACAGCGCGCGATCGGTGCGTGGCTGGTTGGTACCGAGCGCGGGTATATAAGCGCGTGTCGCGCGCGCACTCGCTCTCTTTCATTTCACTCGTCAGTGGATTGCACTCTCCCATTGCGCTGCTCATGTTGTGGGATTTAGCTGTAAATTGTGGCGCGAAGCGTAGCACAGTTCCCGCTCAGAGACTCGGAGTTGCTGAAGCGTGTGCAGTACAGCTGTGGTCAGTCTCTCACTCAGGAAGAGCACTGGTTTAGTTCCGGTGAGTGCAGGAATTAGGAAATCTGATTGGTACGGGAAGCATTCCAGTTCTTGACGATTATTGGAAAGGGGCCAATTCTTACAATTAACTAGGACACACCTAAGCAGGACACACCTAAGCAGGACACACCTAAGCAGGACACACCTAAGTAGGACACACCTTAGTAGGACGCACCTAAGTAGGACGCATCTTATTGGGTCTCCAAGTGGTTATAATAAAGCAGTGAAGCCCTAAATACCCGATTGTCTGATCTATTCATTGGACGTTAACCCTTCCCCGAGTGTGTTCGTGAGGTTTGCGTGAGAGCGCGAGTGAGTGTGTTCCCTGAGCGCCTGGCGGTAGACTGCCCCAAAACGGACCTGTTCCCCTGGCCTTCCCCACAGCCGCTCGTCGGGTCGGCAGAGAGCAATATCCAAGGCATCGTCGACACAAGACCGCCACAATATTTATCTTTCCTTTTTTACCTTGTAAGATAAATTATTCATGAACACTAATACATGCCATAAGTCCTGACCAATCAGCTGATCGCTCTTTACAAAAGCGCCTACCAAATAAAATTACAGCGCACTGTGCTGTCCTGAAAAGCGCTGTCCTGTTGGTTAACAAATTCGACCCTGTCATTCTATACCTTAGCATCCAGTACGTAGAAAAACATCACGAACTCTACGTAGAGAATCTGATTCAGATTGGTTCACAATGAGTATCAAAACAGTAATGACAATTGAACTGGGTTTGCCACGGCGTCTTACGACGTAAGACTGCGCTGGCTAACGTGGATGAACAATAATTGATACCTTATTACTCTTGCCCCAGCCAAGATGCACACACGTTATCTCCTCCTCAGTTAAACTGATGACATTTTCCAAGCAAGTGAAACTTCCGTTCTTCATTGCTTTGGCGATATGATCCCCACTTAGCCTTTGTAGTGGGTTATCATTCCAGCACATCTTCATTAATTTCTCAAGACATGGGAACATGGTGACGATCGCGTAGTCTCGGAACTGAAAGGTTGGCTTGGTGCCCTTGTTGACAGCGCTACGGATATGAATGGCAGTCTTGAGGTTATCGTAGGGCCATGCACCGGACATCACGTGATACAGCAGCATACTGTAGGAGTACCAGTCCGCCTATAGACAACAATTCACATAAGTTAACCTGATTGGATTAATGTTACACTCTCTCAATATCAAAGCCTTATTAGGGAGTCGGGACAATGGTTCTTCCCTGCCAGACTTATTCTGGAACAAAATACATCAACAATTTTTTTTTATAATAAGTTTACCTCCCCTCCTGTCTGTAACCCGAGATGACGATTTAATGTATCTAGGTCTCAAATGAATAAAACAAGAAAAGTGAGAGCATGTATTAAAATGATTTTCATTTCACTTATAAAGCGCATTTCTGTGTTTATAGAAGTTACGATGAAAGGAGGGGGGGGTAGCAATATACCTGTTCTGTGAACGTTCTTCCTCGTAGTATCTCTGGTGCACAGAATCCCAGAGGACCAGCGCGTCCCCTGGCTCCCTGCAAATCCATGGTCCGAGCTATCCCATAATCGGTCAGTTTAATGTTGACGTTAGCATCGACGTCCAAGGAGTACAGCAGGACATTGTCAGTCTTCAGGTCAGAGTGGATTATCCTCTTGTTGTGAAGGTAGGACACCCCACGGGCTACCTGCATGGCGATCTTAAAGGTCAGAACACGGTCTAGAATTGTCCCATAAACCTTCTCCTTCACAAGACTCTCACGAAGGCTTTTGGATTCTTGATGGAGAAGACTTGCGAGGTCTCCCAGTGGAGCTAACTCCATGGCAAAGCAGAGATTGTGGATTGATATCCCAATGAGATGAATGACACAGGGATGTCGTAGCTTGCACATGGTGGCCACTTCACTGCGCAGGTTGTAGAATCCCTCCATGACAAGCATCTCCTCAGGGGCGATACTCTCATCGTACGGCAGTGGGGATAAGGATTGGTTGCCGCTGTCTCGTAGACTGCTACTGCTGCTGGACGTTTCGCTGTCTTCTTGATCTTCCCCCCTAGATGAATGCACCCCCGATTCCGGCCTGCCACTCAAAATCTCTGTTTTAGCCAACATCTTAACAGCGACATCTTCCTGTCGATATCTCCCTTTAAAGACCTCACCGAATCCTCCTCTGCCAAGGGACTGACTGACCCGGGGATCGAAATCAAACGCCTTCTTATCAAGGATCCTGACTGGTAGGTCCATCAAAAAGAGATCGGGGAGGAGATTAGGTATAGCCACGCCCTCAAGATGAGTCGGACACTTCACCTTATCTGTAAACTTCAAAGTGGCGTTCAAAGCGAGTTTGCTGACAGAGAACTTTGTAATTTTGCAAACTGGACAAGGGACAAATCTCTCAACCAAAGTTTTTCCAGTCATGCCGCTGCAATTCAGACCTAGCGAAAATTAAAACAGAACAGTAATTCATGCTCTAAAATGTTGTTCAGATTTTTTATGTTTATCACTCAGTAACATACCAAGAAGTGTACGTGTAGGTAAAAATGTAACATTTCCGGGGAAAACAATTGATAGGTGCATAAACAGTGGGTCCATGAAGGGCTGTGCTCCACAATTACACAACACTGTCTGCTGTCTTTCATCGCAACATGAACATTGTGTGTTTAACACATCAACTTCCCATGACATTACAAACCAGAACTTACCAGGGTACCAATCATGAATGAGGTGTTCAATCTGGTCCACTACGAATCCCATGGCTGCAAACTCTCCGACTTCACTTTTAATCTGGACGCAGATGCCAGGTTTGTCTTCGAAGGTGGCTGGTTTCAACAAGATAACACCGGATGCGTGTTGGACAATCACACCCGTCTGCCAATACGTGATGTTGGTGTTTGTCAGCTTCAGTCCCCTTGGCATTGTTTGGTCCACTCTATGAATTTAAAACAACATATCGTACTTAATCAATAATTAAAGCAACTTTTTAAAGTCTATAACGTGAAAACAATAATTATTCGTCTCAATGAATCAAGCTTTAATCCAAGCTACAGCCAGTTTTATTCTGTAGGATTCATAACAGTAATCTTTTTCAGAGGATCTGAAAATCAACTTTCAAATAGATATAAAAATACGAGGAATACGCCATCAGCGCTCTTACTAGGCTATTATGCCGGTCGCCCCATAACTTCATCGAAAGTGCCCGTCAAGGGTTCTTCAATTTTATGCAAATCGTACACTTAAAAATAGCTATCCTCTATTATACAAAAACACGAAGGTATACAAAAATGAGACTAAACTTGTGCAAGTATGAAAAGAACTCCGGGTCTCGAACAAATAGGCCTATACCATGTTTATGTTTAGGAGACTAACGGAGTATTGGTGACGCAGGGTCCCAGAGGGATGTTATGCTTAGGAAGCGAGTACTACAGGATACAGGATTCTGATGGCTGACAGTTTGTACACTGAAATATAATATAGCTGATGCAATGGGTGCAGATGGGAAGAAGTTGCCCCCACCCAATTCGGGTGTAGTTGGTGTAGTTTTAGTGCACATGTGGTGTACACCAGCTTTTAATCTGCCAACTAGTCAGTTGGCAGTTAGGGCACATGAGTTTGTTTCTGCATTCAGTAGGGGACGTTGAACAATAGAGGACAATTGGATCCCCAATTTCCAAGAGGTCCCAAATTTGGATTCGTGTACAAAACGTAAGGGGGGGGGTCTTCCTAAGAAAATTAAAGTACAAACTAAAGAGGGACAATAGGGGGTCCCAGATTGCAGGCAAATACACACTTGCGTGTGCTGGTGTCACGCGCAATATGGGAATCTGGGTAGATTCGGAATTTGCCCAGCGCAAAGTGGGAATTCCAACACTACGTGGCAAAGTGGGAATGTTGTTCCCACATTGACCTGTACTACAGAACCAGGGCAACGTGGGAATTTTGTTCAAGTTTGATGTAATTTGCTATAGATAAGGGCTGTTCAAAGTACCCATTGATAATATTCCCACATTGCCCTATACTACTACAGAACCTGGGCAAAGTGGGCATTGGCAATTGTGATGTAATTTGCTTCGCAATGTAGGAATATTACCAATGGTTAATTTTAACACTCCTTCGATAGCAAATTAAATCAAAATTGACCGAAATTCCCATTTTGCCCGGGTTCGCTAGTAGCGCAATGTGAAATATTACCCATGGGTAAATTCCACACCCCTTACCTATAAAAAGTACATCAAATTAACACAACTCCCATTTTGCCAAGGTTCAGTAGTAGCACACTGTAGGAAAAGTAATAGCAGTTATGGAAATTTCCACTTTGCCCAGGTGCAGTAGCAGCGCTATGTAGGAATATTAACTATGGGTAATTTTAACACCCCTTTTGTATGGCAAATTAAATCAAAATGTTCCGAAATTCCCACTTTGCCCAGGTTCGGTAGTATCGCAATGTGATAATATTACCCATGTGTCGTTTCAAAATCCCATACCTATAGAAAAGTACATCCAAGTTGACCAAAATTACCACTTTGCTCAGCTTCAGTAGTAGTGCGATGTAGGAATATTACCAAATGGTAATTTCAACACCCCTTAATATAATATAATTCCAGGAATGCATTGCTACTTTGCCAAGCAGATATCCCCACTTTGTCCAGCTGGACAAAGTGGGAATTCCAACTTAGCGGATTCCCACTTTGCCTGCGACATTTGTCAGTGTTCGGGCAGTTGTGGCATTATGTTGCTCTTGAAAATATGCATTTGTGGTATTAATTTGCAACATTTTTGCTACTTTTTGCATCAGCAAATGTGTGTGCTTGTTGGGTGATCATGCATGCACAGATGATGGGGCATTGATGTAATTTGTTTTGTAAAATTTGAGACAATTAAGCAAGCTTCAACATTAGAATTGACATGTAAATGTATACTCATGTACTGGACATGTTGGAATCATGGATGGTGTACTTTTAGTCTTGTCATGCTCGTGTCTTTTCATCTGAAACTGTAAGTGTGTGTGGATGCCCATAAGGGGTAGGTCATTTCAAGGATTAAATCATGTGAAGAATTATATTGTAACATCATTCCAAGGATTAGTTTAATACCAGTACTTTACAGTGTGTACAAGGATCATGGATAAAATGTGCAACATGTTAAACACGATCACCCATGTTTGGGTTCTACGGTAGTAGTATGTCTTCATGTTGTTCATTACAGATTTAATGCATGGGAAAGAATGTAAAATATCTTATACAAATTCTAAAGCAAAATTTAGTGCCAGGATTTATTTCCTCACAGAGGTACCGAATTTGCATGCTGCACCAAAAACAACACCCCGGTGCACTTTTGGTGCTAATTTAAATCATTGGAACGCACCACAAGTGCACCACTCATGTGTGATGAGCTTTTGGTGCTAATTTAAATAATTGGAACGTACGCACCACAAATGCACCCCATCACCAAAATTGGTGCAAATGTGGTGTAAGGATTTAGTACTGCTGAAATAATGCCCGCGCACCAAATCTGCACCATTAATGCCGCACCAAAACAGCATCACATCATGTGTGGTGCGCTTTTGGTGCTAATTTAAATAATTGGAACGCCCCAAAACTACACCCCATGTGCAGTTTTTAGGTTGAAAGGTTTTTAGGTTTTTAGGTTTTTACAGTGTGCACCAAATTAAAAAAGCACCAATTACAAAGGAGGTGTCAATTTGGTGTACACCAGCTTTTGGAAAACACCTACACTAAAACTACACCATATGTGCACCAAATCTGCTCTCCAATTGGGCGAGGGATGGGTGCAAAGAGGACCCACTGGGGGACGAAGGCTGGGCTGGTTTGGGGTGCGTTGTGTGAGATAAAAAAACTACCAACATAATGTGAGTGAGGCACATGAGGCGAACCCTAGTCGAGCTTATATATAGCAATCCCTGTGGTCGCATCAGGGTTTTATTTTGGTTCTTGAGTCTTGATCTGATGGGCATTTTACCTGTTGCAGTGAAGTGCACGTGACCCCGATAAGGAGCATTCCTACGAAGAAGGGCTGGACTTGACGTGTAAAGTATGCGTTAAATACGACACGTTATGACAAAATTAATGAGATTATGAATACAATGAGATCATGAATACCTTGTGGATTGTTACTGGGGCCTCGGCATCATCATAGGAAAGCCACGCTGTTGATAAAGTTGCTTGAATAAAATATGGTGATTTTAATACTGAAAAGCGCAAGAAACAAAGCGTTCATGTAGTATGAAACACTGAAATGCAGGTGCAATTTTTTCCAGGTTAAAAGATATTGAAAAACATTGGGAAGAATGGAAAATCGCGGGATTTTTTGCACATTTAATTACTCAAATTTAAGGAGCAGGTTGCAAACCTTGGGGATTTTCCCTTTGTTCCCTTGCTTCCCTCCTCATCCAGTAACTTGAGGAATACGTAGACTCTGGACACCAGTCGACTCCAAAATCCTGGCGGATCGTAGGCTAATCTATAATGACGTTCTAGGACCTGATACTGATGGGGGCTGCCTTCGCCCTGGTCGTTCAGAAAATCCTGACCTGGCTTGTCTCTGGGAAGTTGACTTGGAATCAGGTATCTTTCCAGAATAGGGCAAAGTTTAAGGAAGTAGAAGAACGTAAATTGGATAAAAAAAAGTTCCTAAGTTTCAAAATGTCTATTAGCTCAATTTTACAGATTAAACATAAAGTTACTTGCTTATGGTTGATGGTAAAGTTACTTGTTGATGATGACCTGCCAAAATCCTTATTGCTATAGAAAACCAAGGCATTAATGTCGTCCCTTGTGGATTTTGAAACCATATGTTCCAAGGAAATATACTTTCAATTCATTCAAAAGTTACGTTTATATTGTGTTTAGCATAATTGTTTTCCGCACAAGTAATAAAGTGATTTGCCTTTTAAAGCTTGGGTTGGACACAAATGTTTAAGCAACTCCAGCTTATCTTAAACCAGTGTTAATGCTATTAAATCAGGCAGCAGTACAATTACCCAATATAACGCCATTTAGTATTGTCTAACTAGCTTCAGAAACGGATGACCTCGTAGATCAGAAATCATGAATATTGGGCTGGGGGATCCAATTGTACACCCCCAACCCCAACCCACCGCCACTGGTTTTTTTATCTTTGGCATGTCCCCAATAGGAAAAAAAGAAGTTTGGGGTGGAAACTTGGCTATTAACTCTCTCAGGAGGCCACCTATTGAAACCCCCTCTGATTGGACTTACGTGCATTTTTTAAGCACTAGGGTTGGAGGGGGAAGAAACAGAATGACATATAACCTAGGCACAAATCGATTTTCTTGAATAGCTCTTACAAAAACATATTTTCGGTTGCCATGGAAACTAACTATAGAGAGCGTCACAGAGAAACGAAATATATATGCAGATATATTTTGAAAATTATCTGAAAAATGTTCGGATACTTTTCAAAATATATATTTATTTAGTTTGACTGCAGCGCTCGTGATAATTAGTTTCCACAGCATCCAAGGATACATTTGAAAGACCCGTTTATGAAAATTTATTGTGCAGGTTTGATTAAGATTGGTGAAGATATGCTCAGATTATGTCATTCTGTTTTTTTCCCCTTCCAAGCCTATAGTGCTAAGAAAATGCATCTAAGCTCAATAAGTGGCCTCCTGAAAGAGTGCATCCCTACAATTTTTACTGTTAACATCTTTTTTTCCCATCAGGGACGTGACATAGGATTAAAGAATGACCGGTAGCGGTGGGTTCTGGGGCGATCTACCCCCCCCCCCCCCCCTCCATTGCCCCATCCAACGAACTGTATTCAATGCGTAGGGAAACGTCACAATGTCTAAGTTTAACCTGGTTAGATTACGACGAGTGTCAAAATAGTAGACAAGTGGACTAAGTTTGCCATGGTAGTGTTACGATGTACAAGAGTGGGACCAACCCAGCCAGCGAGGATGACAGACGCTATAATTATGGTCTAGCTGTTGAAAAATCTGTTTGGTCGTGTCGCTTCAAAATAAGGAGTCCAAAGAAATAACTGAATTGAGTGGTATATGAAGTACGAATGTGGAATGAAAAAACTCACTCTTCCTTGCTGATTTGATTTACTATGTCTAATCTCTGCAGAAGTTGTAGATATTCCTCAAACCGTCCCTCCCCAAAAGCGCATTTCTTAAACAATTCCTGCTCCACGATGGACCTTTGTATGCGTCCTTCCTCGGCGAGAGAAGGATTGATTTTGGCAACGTTGGTGAGTATGTTGTAGAGCCAGACTGGGTCGATGAAGTACAGGCTTGTTAGACCGTGGAGGTGGTCATTAAAATGCACAAGGGTGCCACTGTTGCTCAGGAACTCAATCGCTTGAGAAAGGGAAAGAGAAGAAGAGACGGGGGAAGAGAGAAGACAAATTTAGAAAATCGATATAATTGAAGAAAAGTTAGTGTTCTGCTAAGCAAAGTATAGGTAATGCAGAACATTCCACTTACAACAAATGACGCACGTTCCAAGACCTTCTTGGTTTTGTATGTTACTCAAGTTGTGTAAACAAAAATGATTCAAGGTGTCACGGTCTCACTTCTCCGGCGTGCTAGCTTCTCCGAAAGGGAAATTTTGCTTCAACACGCATGCACAAAACTACGCAGTGGTGTACATTTTCGTCAGCTTTATTTGTGTGCTGAGTTCTTCGGGGTTGTGCTGGTGCACGTAATATCATAGGATGTTTGTATGCATGGTTACAGGGTAACAGTCGAATCCAGAATTTTCGTGGAGTGCACAACTCCCAATAACCATAACCAAAAAAAGACTTGAAATGCACATTCATGTTAAGCCGCATGGTTGCAAAAATAAAGACAAAATGGAATTCGAACGAGCAAGGAACACGGACCAAGGAGTTCGTTCTTAATTATTCCTCCATGAACACACACACACATGCATGACGCTGGGAACACAAATCAGAATGCTTGCAAGACCATGCGGGAAGTGTTACATAACACATTCTTGGATGTCCCTCCCCTCACTGTGTTATTAATAGGCTTGGTAATAATACAGCCCGAGGAAAAGTAAGCACAGCGGACACATCAGCATGTATCGTGCTCATGTAACGTGCACTGTAACGTGCTCAACTGTCCGCCGAATCCAGCCGGAAAAGCTAGCACGCCGGAGAAGTGAGACCGTGACACCGGAAAACGAAAGCTGTTTCTGATTTATGTTTCCATTATTCAATTCTTGAAAAATTTAATCCTCGATTCTACCGTATCTTCGATTCCTGACTAGTTTACAATGATACAACCGTTCTGTAGATGAATTGAACAAAACGAATCGAGCTTATTAACTAAGGTCAGATTTATAATGACGTCTAGAAGCAAGAGTACCTGAAAAGAAAGTCATTCAAACAATAACGTTAGTGTATTTTTTTTCTCCTTCCAGGCAAAGCTAAAAGTTTACCTTCATTGATATCCTCCAGGGTTTCTATGGTACTGTCAGGAATCTTTTCAATGTGATATTTCAACTCCACATCCTCCAAGACTTGTGGAAGAGGGGGCTTACTGAGCTTACGACGCTCATTCTCATTGGCTATGATCTCCTGGAGAACACTGAACGAGTGGGGCACCTAGAAATCGGTCAAAAACATATTCCATCAGTCTGATTAATTGGAAGCATTTTTTTCCAGTTCAAAAGCCAGTACTGAGAATGCATGTTCGGAGTTGTTCGCGGTTACCATATATTACAATTCTCAAAGCAGGTTACACGCTCTTGTGCGAACATGGAGCCCCTAGGTTCGCTGCTAAGGTTCTAAGGGACTGGGAGTCTTTCTATAAATCTCACTCAATACTGCTAAAAAGCAGCTCAGGGAATAACACAAGTTTGCTCTCTGCAAAATTCGAGGTAATGCACATTTCTACCAATGGCTAGGGTTAATGACATCTGAGAGAGTCCGCATATTAATTCTTAAAGTAAAAAACGGTGTAGATTTTGTACACACTCGATCTCTGACCAGAAACCAGAGGCATTACATAGTTTTATTCTGATAACAGCATCTTGATAAGCTTAAGCTGCAATATTTTAGAGACATTTTGTCGTGGTCTCTTCTTTTTCAAACAAAATAATATTACCATTCTTCCAATCAGGGGAATGTTTGTCCTTGCCACAGCAGCTCCCGGAGTCCAACTCTTCCCGATCCTCATTGCAAGAGATATCTTGTAAATGAAATGCCGTAATTCTTCAATGCCTTCCCCGTCAGGGCTCGTTGCTGTGACCTCGACAACACGAGCGATATCTGGAAACCCATCTCGGAAACGACAGTACTTGTCGAGGATTTTCCCTTTGATCGACTTATCCTTCTTTGCTTTGTCTAAATGGGTGGAGACAATGATGGTGACACTCTCCGTTGCCCTTGACTAAATGAAGCCATAATAAAAAATAGATAAAAACATTATACCTCATACTAAGCTTCCAGGTGAAAACTGTCTGTGGAGTAGGTTCTTCAAGTAAACTTCTTATTTGGTCGAAAAAATTTACAAGTTTCGTGAATTGATAATGCTTTACCAAATTCTTCCATTTTTCTTTTTGGTCTGTTGACAATGTATTACCTTAATATTAAGTAGCCAGGGTTTTAGCTTCTTATCAACACCTTCCAAGCCGTCTCTGAGATCCCAGACCAACAGGTACAGCGTCCTGGGGGTGAAGAAGCTCTGATGGATAATAGTATCCAGCTTACCTCCCTTCAGATCCCATATCGAAAAATGTACATCACCTTGGTCAGAAACACTCTGAAACAAAAGCAAAAGGGGAAACAACACCACTCAAACACTGTACTTCAGGAGCAGGTGCATCTCCTTTTTCCAGATATAAGAATAACGAATCTGAAATCCCTTATATCTAATCCTAACAGAATGTCAAGTTTAATCAAGGCATTGCAACACTACTCTTGTCTGGAATCTCTTGACGTTGTTCTTATGTGCCATTCCCTGATCGTTCTTTACCATTGTGTTGCTGTTCTGCTTTTGTTTTCTTGCAAACCCTAATTTTGAAGAGAAGTGAATACTGTCGATCGGAAAAACAGTCATCCTACCTGATCCATAGGCCTCGAAAACATCTGCCCAAACAAGGGCATTTGTTGAATTTTGTCAGGGTTCTGAAGAGTCCAAGAGCAAATATTGATGCCTAGATCTTCGTCAGGTTCTTTCTTGGTCAAACAGGACAACACGGAGGTCTTGCCACATTTCTGAAAAAAAAATAATAATAATTATCGAGGAAGAAATTTGTTTATCTTCCAATGGTATCCTTTAATCATTCCTTAAAGTAAACGATACCTAGGTTTAAGATCCTAGGAAAAGACAATTTCGTGAGCCGGACATTTCCTGTATTAAATGATATTCGGTAATATATAAATAATGAATGTTTATGAGTGCCTTGGAAGGAATGTCTTCATGAGGTGAACGATTAACTGTACCATCAAAAAGGCGTAGCCGGATCGAATGGAACAGTCAATCTTTCAATGAATGAAAATATTCCTTCCAATGCACGAATTAAAAAAAACCATATACATAACGTTTTCTAAGAACACCTAAATAGATCCTTGTCATTCGATATTTTATTATGGCCATTCCATATTTTATTTGGAACCTATGAGTACTTGGATTATGTAACTCGTTTACATAATCATTGGAGGCTTTGGAGCATATAAGTTAAGGTTGATCCAACTCAATATTGGCAAAGGACAGTAAGTTGACCAACGCAGAGATTGCTTGCATGACAATCTCCTTTCATCCACTTTTTATGCAAATTGGACCACATTGACATAGCATGCCTTTCAATTAACTTTCTATATCTCTGGATGTAGGTTAATAAATAAAATAGGAGCTAGTATTTTTTAATACTTTTGGTCTCTAAATTTATATTTTTTTATACACACTATATGATTGGTACAGACAATGGTAAACGTATGTATTTGCCAATAGTGGTTCATACCTCCGGCCCCACCAGCATGAGTTTCATACCGCGGTAGGGTTTGCAACTCAAGCGTTTTTCGTTGAGTTTCTCCAGGATTTCCCTTGTTTGCATGACAGGCACAATAGTATCTGGCTCCTTTATCTTCAAGTTGTCGAGTTTGAGGGACCACAGTTCTTTCAACCGCGCCAGATCCTCTGGAAGTTTCTCTATGCCTGTATTACTACACAACACAAACAACTGGATTTGAGAAACATGCTTTTGTATTATGTGATGATACAATGGCTCTTTGCCTTCCACTTCTGACGATCCATGTATGATATCTTGTCAGAACCGCTGTTTAGATTGAGGTTTACATTTTCCAACTGTGGTTTTTACTCTTGCGGGGGTAAATACATTTCTTCAACCATTTCATCGATAATACTGATGGTGATCTACGTGTACATGTGCATGTGCATACATACCCACTGAGATCCAGTGTTTGTAGGCAAGCCAATTTGCAAATACTTGGGGGCACGTCCCGTAGCTGGTTATTCCTCAGGTCCAGGGTCAACAGAGAATCGCTGAAGATCTTTGGGAAGACAACTGATGAAGATGTGACATCTCCAACCGGTAGCATTTCCAACCAGGTTTCTGGACTCTCATCCTTTGAAGGGAACCTGAGGAAACCTTAAAGTATGAGGTTTGTGTGACATCTGTTGTAACAATTAATGAAAAAAGCAATTCGAGACAACTCGAAGGCAGAGTTCATTTGCAATGTCCACGTCCCACCTTGGTCTTACACAAAATAGGAGCATAAAGCTTTCATCTGCGTGGGCGTCAATCGGTGGGGGACGGGGGGGGGGGACTTGACGCCCCCCCCCCCCCCAACACACACACACACACACCCAGACTTGTTTCACATACCTAGTGTGGACTTTCCTTTCTTTTCGTGTAGTTAAGGAACACCAGTGGAAAAACTCATTTTTCTCAAACTGTGAAAACTCTTACAACCCAATTTTTTTTCAATGATTCCCTTTAGTGTTTCTCTTCATTCTGCTACGGATAAACCTAACCCAAAAATGCCTCTAAACCTGTTTTCCAGAAATGGGGAAACACTGTGTGGACGTGGGCAAGTCCACACTTCGTCGCTGCTACCTACATTATGTGGACGTCTTTTGTTCGGAAGTCCACACTGCGTATGTAAGACAAGCTCACTCATACTGAAATTTGTATTCTTGTGGAGACATTTCTTTGTTCTCGTGTAGTAAAGTTTTCGAGTTTAAAAGTGAAGTTTCAAAATACTTTTAATTATTTTAATCAGAATAAATTTCCTAGGCTACAATTTGGACTTAATATCCCTTTTTAAAACTTTTCCATTTGCGACAGATCAACCCACCTTGGAAATTCCTATTTTTGAGTAAAATCCATATATCTATTTCTAAAGAAATTGTCCTGTGGAGATGTATACAATCTTTTGTTCCCTATTGTACACACGTCTCTAGAGGGCACGGTGTATCAGATCACACGCACACACACTTTTTTAAATGGAGGGAAATCATATCTTTTGTCCCCCCCCCCAAACACTTTTTTAGTCCCGAATAAATTGTAGCATACAGAATAGCTAAGAAAAGCTGTTTCAATGACTCCAAACTCGAAAATGATGTTTAATGATGATCTTTTGCTAAATACAATTGTTATAGTAATCGTGGTCAGAAATTGCCTGCGATCGCACCTCAGAGCATCTGGAATCCAAAATTGTGTATGTTCCGTTAACTCGACACAATTATCAGCCAGTAAAAATTCTCTGAGGCTGTAGATTTTCCAGTAGTCAGGAGGAGGAAGCTCAGTGATCTGATTGCCAGACAGATTCAGCCCTTTCAGCCGAGTCAGCTGACAGATAGTCCAAGGAATCTCCGTCAAGTGGTTACAGCTGAGGTTTAAGTCCATGAGGGAACGATTCCAGTACTCATGCATGTCAGGGACTTTCTTGATCTTATTGTTGGAGGCATCCAAGCGTTTCTGTGAGATAAACAGGTTGAAGGCCTCTTTAGAATGATTGTAATTCTAAAAAAACACAACAACAACAACCCATTCCTTCTACCCAAATTAAGAGCTAACCCCCCCCCCCCCCCACACACACACACACACACACACACACCCATTCTCAAATTTGTATCCTTGTGGAGACATTCCTTTGTTCTCGTGTAGTAAAGTTTTCAATTTTGAAAGTGAAGTTTCAAAATGCTCTTATTTTAATCAGAATTAGTTTCCTTGGCTGAAATTTGGACTTAATATCCCTTTTCTAAAACTCTTCCATTTGCGACAGATCAACCCACCTTGGAAATTCCTAGTTTTTGAGTAAAACCCATATATCTATTTCGTGAAAACCTTGTGGAGACCTATTCATCTATAGAAATTGCCTTGTGGAGACCTTTACAATGTTTTGTTCCCTATTGTGTGTGTGTCTCCACAAGGATACAAATTTGTAGTCACTCATACTTGTTTCACATGACTAGTGTGGACTTTCCATTGCTTTCGTGTAGTTAAGAAAAACCAGTGAAAAAACTCATTTTTCTCAAACTGTGAAAACTCTTTCAACCCAATTTTTTTTTCTATGATTCCCTTTAGTGTTTCTCTTCATTCTGCTACAGATAAACCTAACCCAAAAATGCCTCTAAACCTGTTTTCCAGAAATGGGGAAACACTGTGTGGACGTGGGGTAAGTCCACACAACGTCGGTGCTACCTACATTATGTGGACGTCTTTTGTTCGGAAGTCCACACTGCGTATGTAAGACAAACTCACACCCACACACACCACCACCACCACCACCACCAATATGAGCAAAAGCTTGATCTGCCCCTGGCCATTTGAGAGGCAATTAGGAATGCCAGCGTGCATTTAAAGATGTATTCCCGTGCTATTTTCAAGTTTCATTTGGAAAAATATGTTTTCAAATTTCTATTTTCCTAGCAATTTCAAAGCTATTTACTTGATGACGTCATTATGACGTAACTTCATTGCTCATGTTTAACTTGTGCCTGACTATTTACCTACAAAGTTGTGAGGCAATGCGGCTTACAGTTTTGTAGATGTAAGACTTTGAGAAATTCACCTTCAACTTGAATGGCGTCGCATAAAATACGAAGACGTCAATCACGACGACACTTAGGCCTAGTGACAATTATTAGTTGACCCGATCAAAAACAGTGACCAATTGCCGAAGCAGAAATAGTGTTCAAAAATTCTCGAAAAATCAACCGGTGACGTTATCATGACATAACCTCAGATTTTACATAACAATGACAATATCTTACTGTCTGCCGAGTTTCGTGACGATCCTACTTTTACTTATTCTGGTTCTCCAGACCAAAAGATTCTGAATATTCTTGATGAATCTTAGGTCAGGTAGCCTCCGGTAATACATTGTATTACAATTTACGTCACGCGACTAAAACGGGCGGAATTCCTCCTTTCTCCGAAAATGTCCATAGTTTGCCGAGTTAATTTCGTCGACAATCGGATAGCGCCCGAGTATTTCCGAGTATAATATAGGTTTGATTAACTTCTAATTGCTTATTACAAACTTTTAAAAAAGTTGATAATTAATATTCATTGCTTTCATTTAGAAAACTTGAAATTCAACGACGATTTTGTGCATCAAGGATACTCAGATCGTATGGGCGAACGTTTTGCTTCGTCATGTACTATTTTGAATTTGACGACCGTTACCGAGATTTTCCAAAACTCGGTTTTCATTCGGCTTCGCCTGCTAACAGTGCTATTTGAGTGCCTAATTTTGAAGACTCCAGATCTTACAGAAATATCAAACTGCATTATCATAACTGTATGATTTTACGAAGCAAGTGATTTATTTACAAATTTGATCATAAAATTAAAAGCTATAAGTAATAAAGCAAAATCGGAAACGAAGCCGAGCTTTGAAAAAGGGCCGTCAATGTCGTCATGTTTATTTTTAGCCACGGAGACTGCCTGACCTACAATTTAGACGTGAGCGTCGGGAATAATTGTCAGGTCTAGGGAACCAGACTAACTTTCATTTGTTTTGATGTGTTTTGAAATATGACATTTTGATGACGTCATCATGACGTCGCACATTTATCACTTATTTGTGGAAGTCCCTTATAAACCTATACAAACAGAAGTTGGAATTAGCGTGTTGCGTTCGTGAGATATGACACTTCCAAATATACAACTCCATTCAAATCATATGATAACGTCATCCTAACGTCACCTCAATTTCGCATGTAACACATCAAGGTATTTGAATATCATATTAAACCCAATCGGACCAGTAATTCAGGAGATATTGGCCTGCAAAGAATGCAAATTTACGGGTGTGTCACGTGACCAGCGATGACATAATCTTGACCTCACCATTAGGCGCACGTCTTCAGATGGTGGTCTAAGAGTATGCCAAGTTGGAATTGGATCGAATTTTCCAAAGTGCCAAAGTGGGCCCGGGGATGCAGGAAGATTGATTAACTACTAAAAACACGGAATATCAGATGTTGTGAAGTTTAGGATTTCTGTATAAAATGTGGTCATGTTAGTGTCTGCGGTGTTTGATTAATATTCCAAAATGCCTTTCGCACCCTAAAGTAAACTTCTCTGAATCCTAAAATAACACCTGCTTTTGTGATTTGGAAACGTTTTTCAAGGTGGAAAACGCGATTTTCTTACGCGCGTTACGTTTTTGGTTGTTCAAAACCAACCTTACCTCTATCCCGCCACCGGGAGCATTGACTATTATAGCAGGGTATTGCGCAATTTCGTATTGTTTGCCCTCTTAACACCAGATTTCCCTCCGAACCCCATACAGTATGTGTACAACTTGGCTGTTTGTTCTGAATGTTCTGAAAATTAAAGTGTGCTAAGCTTCACAATCGCTCGAAAAACAAAAACAAAGGCCTTTGCGCAACCATGCGGAAAAGGTACAAAGTTGGGGGTTGGGGATAGGAGCGGGGGGGGGGGTCAGAATGCTTCGTTTTTGTATTATATTATTTTGGTGAACTTTTGTTTCGTAAAGGGCGACAGTGTTTTGAGTTGGAGAGGCACGCCCTATTGGCGACTTGGTTTCTTATTGTTTGTATATCCTTTTGTTTTAATATCAAATTTTGTGTATTTATTGTAATTGTGTGTATATATGTCAATTTACCGAATAAAATATGATTACTATTATTATTATTATTTTTTTGTCAAAAGAGGGCGCTGTTGCATACCACCGTCAGCAAATCAGTTGTGTCAAAACGTTCAGATAACGTCAAGTTTCATGTCAGCGTCACATGTTTAGTCAGGAAACTTCTTCCTTTTAGGACAACCAAAAGTCGTAAGTTTTCTAATTCTACATCTCTTAATATGATTGTAAGACTTTTAAAGAACAAGCTCATTTAGTTATTTGGGGTTAATTTCTTTATTTTTAGGGGCTCTAATGATTTAGAGCCCCTTTTTTTCCAATATGGCTGCCCGACCCATTTTACAAAACGACCGGCCGGGCTATTTTTCAAGATTGCAGCAAGCTCTTTTTTTAAAGGCCGCCACTCAGGAAATGACATGCTAGCTTTATGTGGGCTAGATGCAACAGACAAAGAGGCCAAAATGATGTCACTGTTTAAAAATGATGTCATTTCCCGGTTTTTTTTTTCAATAAAAAAATAGGAGGTGGCCTCCAAAAAAGAAACGGGCGGCCCGGGGATCCAAGACGCTAAACATGTCTTTTTTTGGCCCTTATTGGGGAAACTTTGTGTAAAAGAGACATGAGAAAATGTTGTAACGTCGGTTCTGGGCCGCCGACCCACGGCGCAACCGTAGCGTTGGGACCCCTGCTGCTGCGCCAGGGACCCGTTGCCGGGCTGCGCCAACTCAGCAGTGTGACATGTTTGTATAAGTCTTTTGTTGTGAGTTGTAAAAGGAGACAGCCTCGTGAAAGAAAGTGGCAAGAATAAAATGGCCATAGAGCCCCGAAACCCTGAAGAAAAGTGCCTGTGGTTTCCTTCGTCTGGCGTGTGAAAACACACGATCCGGTCGACGTTACATTGGTGGCAGCGATGGGATGTCTGACAGATGCAAAACAGGTAGAATTTCAAGTGTTTTTCGCCATGAATACACCGGGTCGAGTTAGTCTGGCGTCCGACTCGCCACGCAGCGGGTATGCAGGCTCGCAGAGCCTAGGCCAACCTAGTGAGACGATCAGCAAAACGTTCGTCACTTTGGATAACTCGGAGTTGGAATTTTTCACGGTTTCGGGGCGCCATCTAGGCCTACATTCTAGGTCCCATGGGGATCCGCCCCGTACTGTACACGGCGGCGTGGCAGCTAGACGCTCCGTTCCACTCGGAACGTTGTCGGGCTGTGCCTGTCGACGCGGCAGGGGCGGGGCTTCCTTTAGAAACGCCAGGGGACGATGTTGATGCCTGTTGCGCCGGGCTTCGTCCGGAGACACCCCACGTCTTCTACACCAACACAAGTGCCAAGGCCCACGATCGGAACACTAGCCCCGTAACACACACATTCGTACGACGGACGCACGTTTCTTTTCGGATCAGCTCCGTTCTGCACACATCCATACACCGGATGCATGTTTCCCTGTGGATCGGCTCCGCACTGCACGAGTCAATGGAGCAAAGCTGGCGCAGTTGTTCCGCACGGGAGACTTTGGGGCGGAACCCGCGCAGTCGCTCCGCACGGGAGACTATGGAGCAGGGCCGGTGGAGCCGCTCCGCATGGGAGTCTATGGAGCGGAGCCATTGGAGTTGCTTCGCACGGGAGTTTATGGGGCGGAACCGGGGCGGTTGCTCCACACGGGAGTCTATGGAGCTGAGCCGGTGGAGCCGACAGAGCTGATCCTTACAGAAATCTCCCATGGGAAATTTTCCCATGGGACCACATGGGAATTGCATGGTGAATTGGACACCATGTAGCATGGGATTTTTCCCATGGGAAATATTATATGGTTTTTTCCCCATGTATGATTTCCTATCATTTCTCAAAAGATTCCAAACTCTATGGTATGTTTCAATAACAACTTTCTTTATACATGTTAACCCTGTGTGTTCTGTGCTATTCACCGAATATGTAAAGCGCGTCATGGATCGAGCTGCGATGGGTGTGGATAGGAGTGCTTTCATACGACTTACCAAGTTGTACCATATTATCACAGTGTACCCAATTCATTTTCTCATAAATGTTTCCATCCATATTAACAAATGAAACAATATTATCCAAAGTTCTTTGAATGACACATTTTCCACATAAAAAAATTACTGTATGCTTCATTTGACTTCAATTATCAGCAGAAAAATTTAAAAATGTGCAATTACAACACTCGTTATTGAGGCAATTCTCACAAAAATTTCCCATGGTGTTCCCATGGTGTCCCATGGTGTTTATCCCATTTTGTACAATTGGTGAAAATCCACACGAGTTTCCCATGGTCAGCATAAAAAATAGAATTCTTGATAACCTCTATGACCACAAGGGAAACATTTTTAATTGAATTCAAATTTACAGGCGAATAAGTAATTAAATTAAAGAGGCGTACATGGTGTACCCATGTAATCCCCATGGATGTTCTCATGGTGTCCAGTAAATCCCCATGGTGTTCCCATGGTGACATAAAATCCCCATGGTGTCCATAAAATCCCCATGGTTTTCCCATGGTGTCCATAAAATCGCCCTGGTGTCCCATGGTGTCCTTAAAATCCCCATGGTGTTCCCATGTTGTCCATGCAATCTCCATGGTGTTCCCATGGGTTTCCCATGATGAGTATAACATCTCCCATGGTGACATTTTAACTTACAGGATGTTCTTGATGACCCCATGGGTTTCCTGTAAGGGCAGTGGCACTTATGGCATTTGTCCAAGCCATGTTCCATCAGGGCAACGTCCTTAGTGAAGAGCGAGATGTCTTGAGATGTATGTGGTGGTGATGACAGCCCTCGACAGCCGAGCTGGTATATTCAGAATGACTGTATACACCTCTTCGGTGGTACATATGGAGTCTAAACTGTTGTACCTTCGCTCTGCAACGTACCGCTGAGGGTATTCGATCAGACTTTCAATCTGACACAGTCGACACAGTCATGCGTAATTTTTACGTAGATGACTGTTTGAAATCTGTCGCCAGTGAAGAGAAAGGAATTCGGCTGGCACAGGAACACTGTAGTCTTCGAGCTAGAGGCGGTTTTAGGTTGATAAACTGGGTAAGCAGCAGCCCACAAGTTCTTGCGTCCATCCCCATTGATGTAAAGGAGCTCGATCTGAACTACGAGGCATTGCCAAGCGAAAGAGCGCTCGGAATGCAGTGGGACGTTAAACTGGACTGTCTCGGCTATAAAATCAGTCCCAGCGACAAGCCATTGACGAGATTTAGCTTACAGTTATATCTATGATCCACATGGGTTTATGAGTCCATCACTCTGAGAGCCAAGGTGATCATAGAGGATCTATGTCACAGAAAGCTAGGCTGGGATGAAGCACTTTTCTGTGTTGATGTATTTGAGAAAATGTGTGTAAAAGCGACATAAGAAAATGTAATACACATTTTTGTGAAATAATTTGGACGTACATTCTGAATTCATACGTGCACTAGCTAATTTTATTACAACAGACTGGATACACGCTATATTGGTTCATTTATCACTCTTGATTTGTATTTGTTATTGTTTGTTTTGTTTTATGTAGATTAAACCGCGATTGTTTGTGCTTGCATGATTAAAACACGTATCCTACACACAGGGATTAACTACTCGGCCCAACTCCTGGTTAGACGCGCGATAACGGCCTGTACTGGTGGCAAATACCATGAATACTTTTCAACATAGACCACTGCGCGCGGTGGCTTTCAGATTTGCTAGGCTCTTCGCCCAATCTGGCCTCGAAGTCTGTAAAGCCAGCGAATTATATTTTTGAATTTTCATGAGTCTACGTTTTTGGTCTTTATTAATGAATTCTGATAAGTGATAACTACATAACCATGGTAATGCCGAGCACAATATCTGTAGCTTTTAGATGAACAATGAAATGTCGCTTATGTTTCATCGGTTCGGCATCCTATCTCTCTAAAACTTTTTAATAAAAGCCTAATTAAAAACGAAATTTGGATAAACGGTGTTCTCCTTCAAATTTGACGTTTATTTCCCGGGTAAATACTTTATCTATGCCGACAAAAACTGCACAATACCATCTGTTGTATCCTGGAGTATTTATTTTTTAAATGATTTGGAACAATTATATCTTAAATAAGAAATAGTTTTATTTTCAGTTTTATGAATATTTCCGTTTTAGATGTCGTGCAAAAACCCAACACAATGGCACATCTGGAAAATTCGCGATTACGCGCCAACGGGTATTGATGCCCGTTATCACGCGTCTAACCAATTAAGGCAAGTCCACTGAGTGCATTTTGTACTAGAGCTCAGAACAGTCGTTTATCCTGGTGTCTAGGATCCGTGATTAAAACTACGTGTTACGTGATATTGATATGTGATGCACTAAACGTCATTCGTCATTTATTGTTAAGCTATACTGGAGATTTTAAATGTCATCCTTCACAGGGGGGAAGGGGTGCTGAACACCATCTGCCTATGAGGGGCGCTATTCATTTTGAACACTGTCCCACAATGACAATAGCAGTCGCTATTTGTTGTGGCATATTTGCTGGCAGGCACACAATTTTGCCGACAGGAGAACGCCCATGCAGGTACTACTGCTAGTAGCTTCTGTGCGCCTTGTGAAGTTCTTGTTTTTTGTTTTCTTTATAAACATTACAAAATTAATATTAAAAAAAATTGAAAACAAATACCAACCACTGGATACGCTACTGCATTGAATGCATTTTAACGGAAAAGAAGCTCACCTTTCTTTACCCCTGGGGGGCACGAGGTGGTGGTGGCCCAAAATAAATGTCAGGGCTACAATATGGCAAAGGTTCGGATACTTACCAATGGGCAATCCCAGGCAGCTGGAAGGTCTGACAGTCTGTTATTAGAAACATTGAGTTTCTCCAAACTCTTGGCAGTGCTGATACCAGAAGGAATGTGGATAATCTCATTATAAGACAGATTTAATACCGTCAGGTTGCTCCAATCCCAGACAATTTCACTCTCACCTGAGGACAAAAAAACCCCGATTTTTTTATTCCGATTTATTTCCAAGATAATAGTAACATTGCTTAGATTTTCTAAAAAAAAAAAAAAGAATAGGGAAAAGATAATTTTCCATCTTGGCCTACCTGGTTTGACCAGCTTGAAGACGGAGCGTCCGTGGTGACTTGTGATGCGATTGTGAGACAGATCCAGGTTCTCAAGCAGATGCAGCATGAAAATCTCAGGGATAGGATTGCCCATTTTATTGTGGGAAACGTTCAGATGTGTCAATCTATAAGCAAAATATTCATTACTTTGCGTTAGGTCGATTACCAGTTTGCCCCAAGGATGTAACTCTGTATGGTGAGAGTGAAGGCAGTCGTCGGTTCGCTCTATGGTGTTAAGGATACCCGTATACAGACTAATGTAGTAATGCTGATATTACTAATATCAGCATTACATTAACTACTTAATGTAGAATGCAAACATAATCTGCAAATTTGGCAGCGTGAATAGTGAATACTCTAGCCTCCAATTAAAATTAAAACTTAAAATAATATGTAACACTTTTAATAAGCAAAATTAATAGGACTGCTGCAAACTGCTTCCTGATTTTTACTCAGGGAATAAATATGTACTTGGCCGATTTTAAACAAGTCCGTTTAAGACCGGTGTTGGGAATGGACGCTGATAATGGTCTGAGCCGAGGGTGGAGACATCATCGGCTACCAGGCCCCACGCCGGTCTGAAGCGGACTTGTTTAATATCGGCCAAGCAAAAATTAATTACCATTCATAAATACCATTTTTACCCCGCCCCCCCCCCCGGCAGATCCGCCGTTGTATTGGATCTACTTGTCTTATGTCTGGATATGCTCATAATAATTTCCACCAAACTGTCCAAAGAGGGTTTTCACATACTATTTTCAAGACAATAGTCATCGATGCATGACCAGAGGAATGCAATGTCCAGTTTATGACACAATACAATACAATGCAATTAGGCATTTATAAAGCGCCCTTCAAGGAACCCAGCGCTGTACAAGCCAATACATATAGTAAATTACACAATTAACAATGAAACTCAAAATACAGAACATCAATAACAAAACGAAGTACAAAGCAATACAAGAAATTAGACAAACATGTGTGTTTTCAGAAGGCCTTTGAAAATGCCCAATGTTTTGGCCCTCCTGATGTTAATGGGTAGACAGTTCCAAAGGCTTGGTCCAGCGGCTTGAAACGCTTTATCACCGGTACGAGTTCTGGTTTTAGGCACAGATAGAAGAGTTGAGTCTAGCGAAGAGCGAGTGGCATATCTAGGTTTGCAAAATGAAATCAGGTTTTGAAGGTGCTCTGGAGCTTGTGAATTAATGAATGCATTTGTAGACGATGACAAGGATTTCGAATTCAAGGGGGCACTGGAAGTATCACGCCCTATCAAAAATATCAGTCTTGCCGCTCTATTTTGCAGGCGTTGAAGACGAGTTAGGTCATTGTCAGTGGCTCCAAATAGTAAGGCGTTACCATAGTCGATCCGGGAAAACACAAGAGCTTGAACAGCAAGCTTGCAAGTACCCTGATATATAAAACAGATTGCGTAGATGGAAGCTGACACATTTAACAACAGTTGAGATTTGGCAAGACATGTTCAAAACAGGATCAAAGAAGACTCCGAGATCCTTCAGTGTCAGTGTCGGGGCGATGGTGACATCATCAAGAGTTAGCTTGACGTCCGAAAGACTACCGATAGTTCTCGAAGAAGCTGCAACAAAAACTCTGTTTTTGCTTGGTTTAGTTGCAACTTGTTTTGCGACATCCATGATTTTATTTGTTGTACACATGTCCTGAGTTTGTTAAGTGCCAACTCGCATTCACCATCAATTCTTGGATTGAAACCGACACAAGGGCGGATCCAGGGGGGGGGCCAAAGGGGGCCATGCCCCCCCCCCCCAAAAAAAAAACGAAACCAATTTTTTTTTTTTTTTATGTGACATCGCAATAAAGGCAGGCAATGAGTAGACCACCATCTTTTCCTCAAAAAACATTGGTTAAAGTGGTCAGAAATTGCCTCAGATCGCACCACAGAGCAACTAGAATCCAAAAAATGTTCGGGGCCCTTTAGCGGGCCCCGAACCCACGCCGTAATTTTTTGACCCACTTTTTGGGTGGACCAAATTTTTTTTGGCCCCCCCCCCCCGAAAATTGTGTTCTGGATCCGCCCTTGAACCGACATAAATCTGGATGTCGTCCGCATAAATGTGGAAGTTGACATGATTCTTGCGTAGAATGTCCCCAACTGGATGAGTGTACACTGTATACCCTCTTGGCCCTATGATGGATCCCTGAGGGAGGCCAAAATCCAATTGATGTTCCTTTGAAAATTCACCTGAATTTGAGGCACGGTTTTTTCTGTTTCTTAGGTAGCTTGCAAACCAATTCAGAGCACGACCCTAAATATGGAAGTTATGACAAAGCCGACTGACTAATATTGCATGATCGATGGTATCGAACGCAGCCGATAGATCTAACATAACAAGAAAGACTGCGTTCTTGTTGTCAATAGCAGAGGAAATGTCATTCCTTACCCTTCAGTAGCCGTCTCAGTGGAATGAAAAGGTTTATAGGCCGATTGAAATGGCTCATTCAAGCTGTTATGATGAAGATGGTCATATAACCTACTACACTGAAAAATTGCCTGGGTTAATTTTACCCACGAAAGGGTTAATACTAGAACTACCCAAACTTGAGTTGTTCTATAACCAATTGTTTGGGTTAGAATATCTGCTAAATTCAACCAAAACTTGTGGTCATTTAAGACCAAATTTAATTTGGTCTTGTATGACTACAACTTTTGGTTGAATTTAACATAAATTCTAAACCAAACAAGTTTGGGTAGTTCCAGTTTTCATTCTTTCTTGGGTAAAATTAACCCAGGCAATTTTTCAGTGTAGAAGCTGCCATTTCAGCGACCTTAGCGACAACCGTGATATTAGATATGGGCCTATAATTCTTAAGAATATTAGGATCCATGGTCTGCTTTTTATGATAGGTGCCACTATAGCCTCTTTCAAAGAATTTGGGAAAATAACTGTTGCAAAAGATACATTGTCAATGTTAGCCAAGGCTGGAATGAAAAGGTTTGAATTGTCTTTGAGGAGTCACATCGGGATAGGATTGAGCAGACACGATTTGTTGGAGCACTTGTTGAGTATACGAGCCATTTCCTCAAGAGAAACAATTATATCAAGAAAATAAGTGCACAGATTCATCATAGTATCCCTTTGTTTTGTAGGTTACGTTTTTGGAGGTACCCTGTATATGTTTTTCAGTTTTATGACTGACTGAACTATTGCATGTAATGTTCAGCCCGCTTTTTTAAAAGTTCCTGATATCGCTTTCTCACCTCAATTCATGAAGCGCCTCTGAAGAATCTGGGCTAGGGAGATTCCTCATTGCATTATGGGATAGATCCAATGATTCCAAGCATGGCATTCCCCATAGTAACGCTGCTGGGATCGTCTTCAGTGCATTGTGGGATAGGTTGATTCGAACCAGCGTACGTAGTTCTTGATTAGTGAGCCAAGTACTGTCAAAACGATGCAATTGACGTGCGCTCCATTGGGCAACATACTTCTGATGAGAGGAAAATAAAAAAAAAAGCAAATGTCCAGATGTTTGAAAATTAATGTTGTCGGAACATCTGTGATAAATGATCTTTGCCATCAGTTGACCGATCCCGCAAGCTCGGTGGTCGAGTGGTAAGACGTCTGCACTAGAAAGCAGGAAGTCTTGGGTACGAGTCCCACCCAATTGATTCTTGCCTAACTTTCACTCGGGAGGTATTCACACTAAGTAGATGTTTATACGTCGGTGAAAGGCAAACAAATCTAATATTGATTTACATCACCCGACGAAAATTCCGTTATATGAATAGTTTACCTCTTCTTGTCCTATATCATGCGCTTCTAATTGACACCACAGCTGTAGAAGATCATGAAACTTCTGGCCAGTTCTAAACGCAGTCTCTTTGTTTACGATTGTCACTTTCCTCTCGAGAAGATAAGCAGCGAGATGATAGTGTTTGCCTGTATGGAAAGTATACACTTTTACCAAAAGAATCACTGGACTTAATATTACATAAAAAATTATCGTTACCCCTGAGCAGTGCTTAATATTTTATCTTCCCTATCACCCACACACTCTAAAACAGGGTCCTAGGTCCGATTTGACTCGGAATCCCGGTGTCACGGTCTCATTTCTTCGGCGTGCTGGCTTCTCCGCAGAGGAAAATTTCGCCTCAAAACAACAACAAAAGCAAATTGCGCAGTAGTGTACATTTCCGCCAACTTTATTTGTGTGCTGAGTTCTTTGGGGTTGTACTGGTGCACGTGAGATCTTAGGATATTTGTGTGTATACGTACGTTACAAGGTGCCAGTCGAATCCAGAATGTTCGTGGCGCGCACAACTCCCAATACATGTAACCAAAAACTTGAAGGATACACTTTTACTTTAAATATAACCATGGTTGCAAAAATAAAGACAACCACGAACGAGCAAGGAACACAGACCTTGCACAGACCAAGGAGCTCGTTCTTAATTATTCCTCCATGAACACACACACGACTGGGTGTGTACATAAATGTGTGTGCTTGCAAGACCATGGAATGCAATGACCATACTCCTCTTTATAAGCTCAATAGCTTGACCCACAGGAAGTGTTACATAACACATTCTTGGGTGTCCCTCACTGTGTTACATATGGACTTGTAGACTTCAGAACAGCCCGAGGAAAAGTAAGCACAGCGGACACATCAGCATGTATCGTGCTCATGTAACGTGCACTGTAACGTGCTCAATTATCCACCGCATTCACCCGGAGAATCTAGCACGCCGGAGAAGTGAGACCGTGACACCGGTCATAATGACCACATGCTAGTCAGGCTCAAACAGACATTTGTCTGGGCCAAAAGGACACTTTTGGAAAATGAACAAGAGAAGTGTCATTTCGACGTAGAAAAATGCCATTTTGACATATACATATAATGTCAATAAAGTACCTGGATGATTGTTATTATTGGTATTGCAGTCCTCAGAATCATAGATATAGAGTAAAAAGACTAGATCGGCAGCGCGTTCACACGCGCCCATTCACTGTGCGATAAATCTCCGACCAACCTCGTTCCCATGGGTACGAGATCTTGCTGCGCCATATTGTTTCCCATCATGCCTTGCGCGATCTACGCGCACGCGCCGATGGAGTCGAGGCGGATCTCCGCCATTCTTGTCTCTCGTGGACGCGCAATAAACTAACGTAAAAATGGAGCGAAATGTAATTGTCCTCCAGCACGTGACCTAGTTGAACACGCGTGGAGCAAGAAATGCGCACCGAGTATTTACGCGCTGCGCTCACGTAAGTTCGCTCACAAGTTGGCGTGCCGCTTTTCATTTCGATTATAATCAGTTTATTTTTCTGCAAACTTATAAACCTGTTTTTATTCTATATCTATGATGGAGATCAATGTTTAAGACCAGCTAGCCATGTCTTCATCATCCGTTTAAGACCGGCCACGTGACGGGCTCTCGACCAATAGGAATGGGTAAACTGTCTTAGGTATTTATGAATTATTCTTTAATACCATTGCACTCATAAACTTTCATTCATAAAAACCTAAGACAGTTTACGCATTCCTATTGGTCGAGGACCGTCACGTGGCCGGTCTTAAACGGATGATAAAAAAACATGGAAATCTCATTTCTTACTCAAGTCATCATCCGGAAACCATTTACATTTAACTCACCAAGGTGACCTTGACCTTTGACCTTTTGACCCCCAAACCAATCCCAACTTGCCTACTCCCAAGGGCAACCCACTACCAAAGTCAGACACCAAAATCTCATTTCTAACTCAAGTTATCATCCGGAAACCATTTACCTTTAACTCACGATGCTGACCTTGACCTTTGACCTTTTGACCCCAAAACCAATCCCAACTTGCCATCTCCCAAGGGCAACCCCCTACCAAAGTTAGACATCAAAATCTCATTTCTAACTCAAGTTATCATCCAGAAACCATTTACCTTTAACTCACCATGGTGACCTTGACCTTTGACCTTTTGACCCCAAAACCAATCCCAACTTGCCTACTCCCAAGGGTAACCCTCTACAAAAGTTAGACACCAAAATCTCATTTCTTACTCAAGTTATCATCCGGAAACCATTTACCTTTAACTCACCATGCTGACCTTGACCTTTGACCTTTTGACCCCAAAACCAATCCCAACTTGCCTACTCCCAAGGGTAACCCTCTACCAAAGTTAGACACCAAAATCTCATTTCTAACTCAAGTTATCATCCGGAAACCATTTACCTTTAACTCACCACGGTGACCTTGACCTTTGACCTTTTGACCTCAAAACCAATCCCAACTTGCCTTCTCCCAAGGGCAACCCCCTACCGAAGTTACAACCCCAAACAACATCTCTAACTCAAGTTATCATCCGGAAACCAAGCTACCCGGACGTACGGACGGCCGTTCTATCCAGACGGACTTGTGGGGTGATAGCATTGTGTTCCCATTATCCCTTTTTCTAAAGATTCCCTTCTGGGGTGATGTTTTTCCATTGTGTAAAAAGTGGGGTGATGTGTTCTGAAAGGAACATCACCCCACAAGGGTGGTCTGGTCAGAACGGACGGACGGACGGCCGGACATACGGACGGACTCCCTAGGCGATGACAATACCCCTCGAGCCTCTCGGCTGAGGGGTAAAAATGATCCGAAAGTCATAATGACTTAATTCGAGAAACATTTTGAACCAAAGTCGAATTTCCGACTGAATCGCTTCAATTTGCAAAAGTTCAAGCAAACCGAGAATGAATCGGTGGATGAATATATGACAAGATGCAAAATACAAGCTAAGCGTTGCAAATAATTCAGCACTGCTGAGTGTGAAGAGCGACTCATCGAGCAATTAGTCATTGGCACTAAGATTAAGAAAATCCAAGAGATATTGCTTGCAAAAGATGATTCACACACTCTCGACCAAGCGATGGACTTGGCATGAACCAAAGAAGCTACCCTGCAACACATGCAAGAGCTACAACAAAGCGAAAAATTGAATGTTGATGCAATGCGATACAAAAGCAAAAGAGCACCACCGCGACCACAAGCAGCTAACTGCGGCAAATGCGGTCTGCAGCATGCGAAAGCAAAATGCCCCGCACACGGCAGTACGTGCAGGTCCTGCGGCAAAGCCAACCATTGGCAGAGCGTATGCAGATTTCGCAAGCAAACACAGGACAAACCAACATATGGTACGCGTCCAAAATCCCGAAGTAGGAGTAGGGGTAGGCAGAAATTCACACAAAGCAAAAATGTCAGTACAGTCAACCAAGGTGATGAACCTCAGATCCAAGACACGTTAGACCAACGAAGTTTCGAGTCTATAAAGATAAATCATATTGGTCACAACATCACCAAACAAGATGAAGCTTATGCAGTACTAGACATAAAGCTAGATGACAAGCCTAATCCTGCTACACTCAAAGTAAAAGTCGACACTGGTGCCCAAGGTAACATCTTGCCTCTCCGCATATTCCGTAGAATGTACCCAAGGAAACTTGATAGCACAGGTTTTCCAAAACAAGACAAAAGTACAAAACAGAAAACGGTACTCACGGCATACAATGGGACAACAATCCCACACTATGGTACAATGAACATACCATGCGGACACAAAGAGAAAAATGAGAATACAGAATTCTACATTGCAGATGTTCAAGGTCCTGCCATATTGGCCTACCATCATGCCTCGAGTTGAAACTTGTTTCACGCAATTGCAGCATTCAAGAGACACAGACGCAGTCAATGACAAAGGTCAACACAAAACAAGAACTACAGCGACTGTATCCAGATAGATTTGAAGGTATTGGCAACTTCGACGGAGAGTACCATATTGTGGTTAACCCAGAAGTTCCACCTGTTGTCCATGCGGCCAGAAGATGCCCTGTCCAAATTAAAGATGACATAAAGAAAGAATTGGATGACATGATCAAGTTAGGGGTAATAACACCCGTAACTGAACCTACAGATTGGGTTTCAAGCTTGGCATACTCACAGAAACCAAACGGTAGATGGCGCGTCTGTCTAGATCCAAAAGACTTAAACGCAGCTATAAAGCGCAGCCACCACCATACCCCCACATTAGAGGAGGTCACATACAAGTTTGCTGGAAGTACAATCTTCTCCAAACTTGATGCCAGACATAGTTATTGGTCAGTTTCCCTTGATCAAGAATCGAGCATGCTCACGACATTCAACAGTCCCTTCGGAAGATTTCGCTTCACTAGGCTTCCCTTTGGGCTATGTGTCAGTCAAGACATATTTCAACAGAAGATGGACCATATCCTAGAGAAGTGTCCAGGCACAGTCGGTATAGCAGACGATGTTGGAGTCTTTGGCAAGACTGAGTCGGAGCATGATGAAAACCTACACAACCTAATGAAGGTTGCACGAGAACATGGCCTTGTCTTCAACCTAGACAAGTGCGAGATCAAGAAACCACAGATCAAATTCTTCGGCATTGTCTACAGTGCTAAAGGAGCACACCCAGACCCAGAAAAAGTGAAGTTCATCGAGTCTATCACACCGCCGAAAAATACAAAGGAATTACAACAGTTCCTTGGCATTGCCACATACATGGCCCCATTCATACCCAACTTGTCGACACTTTCTTCTCCCTTAAGAGAGCTGATGAAGCAAGATCGTGAATACGATTGGCTACGAGTACATCAAATGTCATTTGACAACATCAAGAAGGCCATTTGTGAAGAAGTCACTCTGGCATACTTCGACCCGAAGAAAGAAACCGTCCTACAAGTTGATGCCTCATTGAAAGGTCTCGGAGCAGCTCTAATGCAAGACTCTAAACCAATCTGCTTCGCATCCAAAGCACTGACCGATACAGAGCAAAGATATGCCAACATTGAACGTGAGATGCTAGCCATAGTATATGCTTGCGAAAAATTCCACACATACGTATATGGCAAACCATTCACTGTCCAATCAGATCACAAACCCCTAGAAATGATCCACATCAAAAAACCTCAATACAGCACCACCAAGACTGCAAAGACTTCTACTAAGAATCCAAGGGTAAGATGTGAAGATCAAATACAAGCCAGGCAAAGAAATGCTACTGGCAGACGCAATGTCACGTCTCCATCCACTACCAGGAGCACTGGTAGAGACAGAAGAAATACGAGTACACCAGGTACAATTCTCTGATCAAAAGGTGTCCAAGCTGTAAGAAGCAACAAATGCTGATGCAGAACTCGCAGCCCTTCGCGAGATCATACAGAATGGATGGCCAGACAACCGACAGATGATTCCCAAACCACTACGGAAATACTGGGCATATCGGGACGAGCTGTCTATTGAGAATGGGCTCATAATGAAAGGCCAGAGGATCGTCATCCCCAAAGTGGAAAGACAAAACATCCTCAACACCGTACACGAAGCCCACCAAGGCATAATCAAATCCCAGCTCAGAGCAAAGACATGTGTCTTTTGGCACAACATCAATGATGACATTGAAGAGATGACAAGGTCGTGTGACATATGTCAATCCTATGGCAAATCACAACCATCAGAACCCATGAAACCACATGTCTTACCAAACGGACCATGGCAGACAATAGCTGCCGACATCTTCTTCCTAGATGATGAGAAATACTTACTCATCGCTGACTACTATTCCAAGTACACAATCTTGCGAAAGATACCGAAAGGTCACTCTAACAGCTGCAACACCATTGTCTATCTGCTTAAAAACATATTTGCAGAACAAGGTATTCCTGAAACACTGATAAGTGACAATGGACCACACTTCAACAGTGAAACTTTCCGCAACTTCTCCAACGACTGGAATTTCACACATACCACATCATCCCTTAGATATCCTCAATCCAATGGGTTCATAGAAAGGAACATTCAGACAGTCAAACGCACCATCAAAAAGGCAAAGCAGTCAAACACTGACATACAGAAGGCCTTGATGATTCTTAGGGTAACCCCTATTGATCACCACCTACCATCACCAGCTGAGTTGTTGTATGGCAGAAAAATACGAACAACATTGCCAACAAAAATAAACAACAATGCAACAGACAAGGATGAGATACGTCAAAGATTCGACGCTAGACAAGATCAACAAAGGCAACACTATGACAAGAACACCCACAAACTGGCTCCTCTACACAATGGACAACCCATATACATCCAGAACCAATCAAACACGAAGAAACAATGGGTTCCTGGCACAGTACAAAGTAAGAGCACAGAACCTCGCTCATACATAGTCCAAACAGAGAATGGTCAAACATTGAGACGAAACCGTCGTCAGTTGAAAGAAGGTGGGAAGAAAAGAGTTACCTTTGAACTCGAAGCTTCCACAGAAGCCCCGGGAAAAGAACAAAACAGCCCACTGATCAAACAAACAACCAACGAACCAAATGTCACAACACAACCATACAGAACGCGATCTGGTCGTGCAGTCAATAAACCAACTAAATTGGACCTGTAGACTTAACCCAAGCATGCATAATAATTATGCAAATTTATGCGTAGTGCAGTGCTATGCGTATCTTTATTTAGCGTTAGCGTTAGTTGCAAGAGTTGATATTAGTGACCCTTATTGTTGTTATTGCTTAATAGTTCTAGTGTTGAAGTTTACTTGTTTAAAAGAATTGCAGCCAACTTAACAATAGCAGACCAGAGAAGCAGAATGTTTATTACAAGCATGAATGTAACCTAAGAGCTTTTCTTCAGAAGAAGAGGGATGTAATGATATTGGACTATTTTACTATGCGCATCAATACCCACTAATGATATGTAAACAAGTACATTGTTTTACCACTCTAGTCATGGAAGACTGACACGAAGATATACATGAATAAATTGGCTGAACTATTCCGATTTTCTTCATAACTGTGTGCTTATATACACACCCATAACATTACAGGGGGGCGCTGGGGGCTGGAACATTTCATGGGGGGCGTAATGTAGATCAATGATTTTTTTTTTAGAAACTCAAAATCTCAGGGGGGGGGGGGCGGGGCGACTGGGGGGCAACAATGTTTTATGGGGGGGGCTCCCTCCCCCCCCCCCCCCCGTGGCTACGCCACTGTCTAGAATCCAAAAATGCCCCTAACCCCACGCCGTATTTTTGACCCCCTTTTTGGGGGGACCAAATTTTTTTTGGCCCACCAAAAAAAATTGTGTTCTCCCTTGTTGGCAACGTCTAGTTTTTGACTTGTTTTGATTTTTGGACCGAAAAGATTTGGTTGTTTGACCGAAAAGGTATTTTAGTACAAGCAATGTGCGAAATGACCTCATGAACAAATTGCAACAGAAATGTTTTCGAGGATTCTATTCTCATGAATGTGTCCTCTCTAACATATGAAAAGTCTTAATAATTCCAAATGGTGCAGATGCAGTCTATCACCAAGCGTGCAGTGTTAATTTCGTACCAAGAGGCAAATGCCAGCAGATCAACAGACCAGCAAAACCGGGGTAAAAAAAAACCAAACTGGGCCGACCACAAGACAAGAAAGAGTCAAAGCCTTTCTAGAAGTTGTGAACTTCCTCGAAGAAAATGACGATGAACAGATCACAATCAATGATCTCGTTAGCCGGATGGAAGACAACCTCCAAGGGACAGAACTTCAGGCATATAGCTCCATACTCATGACTGAAGGAACATTTCGTTGACAGAATAATCCTAACCGAGATTAATGGAAAGCCAAACGTAGTAACCTTCAGGAGCACAACCAAGCAATTCTTCATGATTTTTATGATAGCAGGAAAGCCGATCCCGAAACAGAAAGGAAGAGGATCATCAAAACTGCTGCCAAACTTATCAAAGATGACATCAAATCGACGGAAACATCCCATGATGTCTACCCCGACTGTGACACATTTAAGTCTGAAGAGGATGCCAACAACTTTCTTCCAGAAAGCCTCAGAATTCTACTTGAAGAGTTGCTTGTAGTCGAAAACATTGGTGTGAAAATTGCCTCATTACAACAAGTACGCACGGGCGAGGTTTAATGAGCTCTGATATGATCATTTCATTTACATGTATACAGCCAATTACAGCGCGCACTGGTTTGGGAAGTAATGAATACACGTTTAGCGAATACGCGGTGACCTGATTTAGCCGCGTGAAAACGCAGTGAACAAATGACCATTAGCCAATCAGCATGAAGTACCGCGCGTGAAGAACAAGCTGCACACGCGCAGCGTGTTTCACGCGCGCGCGCACCCGGCGCACACACAAGCCAAAATTGAGTTATCGGTCGATTATACAGTCGATCAACTTCAGATTGGTCAATGGTTTATGAATATTGAAAAGTACGTACATACAAATTTTGGGAATTTCATTCCAATTTGGTTTGACAGCAGTTGACAGCAACTAGCTGTGCAGTTACTTTATGAATAAACTTCGTGAGTGACAGGCAAATAGACTGCCCCGTATGACATCTGGCCGAGCGAATCGGCCACTTAAAACGTATAAATTCCATTACTGCCATTTTCGCGTCGCAAGTGGGGCAATGGTGCTTGGGGCCGTAGCCGTTTACGCCGTCAACGGCGCAAAGTCGCGTCGTGCCGTCGCATTGTCGCGTCGTGCCGTCGCATAGTCGCGTCGTGCCGTCGAATAGTCGCGTCACCGTCGCATAGTCGCGTCGTACCGTCGCGTCGTACCGTCGCATGGTTTTGTACTGTTCGTATAGGGCCGTCGCATAGTCGCGTACGTCGTGCCGTCGCGTAGTCGCGTCTTGCCGTCGCATAGTCGCGTCGTGCCGTCGCATTGTCGCGTCGTGCCGTCGCATAGTCGCGTCGTGCCGTTGCATAGTAAATATTATATAGGTTTACCCGACCAAGTTAGCAAATTTGGCGGCCAAATTGGCAACAATCACCCATTTTCGCACGAATTTGAATGCACGTTGAGATCAACATTCAATTTAATACCTAAAAACACCAACCAATTTCACATTAGAATCATGCAACTTCAACAACAGGGCATTCAAATTGAAATTGCACAAACGAGCATCCAAATTTGCCGGAGCTTCCAACTTCGTAAGTTTGGTCATTCGAATTTACCATTAAGTAAGCATATATGGAAAGTAAGCAAAGTATTTCGAAATAGGTCCATGTCGTTCCGTCGTTTTTTAGAATAAGATTGAGTGCTTTTGTTCCAATGTGGAAATATAGATAAAAAAACCTGTCTCCCTCAAGACTCTGCCACTACACTGATCACCACGCAAACTGTTAGATTGAAGCACTAGAAATATCGATATGCCAGCTCATGGGCGTTACATGAAAATTTCAATTGTAGACCGTGGTCGTTTGATGCCCAAGACTATCTTGAACTTGCTGACAATCTTGGCATAAACAGAAATCTACTGCCAGGTAGCAACGTATCTGAAATCTGGCAGACGGGAAAACCTGCCAAGAGGAGGGGCCAAATCCCGGTACATACTGTTATTTCGTTTTACCGTTTTGGATTTCCTCAGAAACAAAAACAGTAATCGAACCATTGACCGTTTTGTCGTTTTACAGTTTTGTAAAACGGTCAGACGGTATTAACTTAGAAAAATACGGTTATTCCGTTTTGTCAGTTTAGTAAAATTCCTTACAGCATAACGATCAAATATTTTACAGTTTTACACAAATAACTTTGAAACACAGCAAAATGGTCAGTATTGAATACAGATTTTTTTTTAATTTCAGTGTCATAGTAAACAGTCCCCTGACCCACCACCCCACACCCCCATCTACTGCGATTCAGTGTTTTATAGCTCCATGGTGGGGCTTAAAGAGTTGTAAGCAAAAGTGGCCCTGGAAAATTTCAAGGAGGACATTTCACAATGGATACAGGAAGAAATAAAGCAATTAACCGTTTATCACTTTTTAAAATTGAAAAAAAAAAAAGGAATTTTTTTTTGTGACTTAATACCGTTGGACCGTTTTACAAAACTGTAAAACGACAAAACGATCAAGGGTTCGATTACTGCTTTTGTTTTTTGGGGAAATCTAAAACGGTAAAACGAAATAACGGTATATTGGCCAACCGGGATTGGGCCAGAAACACAAAAATGGATCACGACACGAAGCAGAAATAATGAAAAGGTGAAAGAAATAAAAAGCCTCGCATCGTATACCTTCGTTGACTTTTATTTTGAATGAAAAAAAGTGCTATATAGAATGCACGGAAATGAAAACGAAAACAAGAATCTCATGTAAATAACCCTCAACCACACCGACTGCTAAATTGAATGATCACTTAAACCGAATGACAAAACTTCAATTCAGGATGCGTTAAACATGAAAATGTCAGGTCTTAAAAAAATATTTCAACGCCTGAAATCTAATACGAACCACGGGGATGACAGCAGGGCGCTACTTCGCTTCAAATTGGCCACTATCAAGATGAATTCGAATGCTATTTTTGCAAAATTGGCCGGGAAAACCTACAAATAATGAATTGTATATAAATAATTTTGTTAAATAATTTATTTTCAGATTGCCACCTCATACCTTCTGTCGAAACACTGGATATTTCAGTTAAAATGCGACGAGGCGACGGTACGACGCGACTATGCGACGGCATGACGCGACTTTATGCGACGGCACGACGCGACAATGCGACGGCACGACGCGACTATGCGACGGCATGACGCGACTATATGCGACGGCACGACGCGACAATGCGACGGCACGACGCGACTATGCGACGGCACGACGCGACTATGCGACGGGACGATGCGACTATGCGACGGCACGACGCGACAATGTGACGGCACGACGCGACTATGCGCCGTTGACGGCGTAAACGGCTACGGCCCCAAGCACCATTGCCCCACTTGCGACGCGGAAATACCATTGCCCCACTTGCGACGCGGAAATGGCAGTAATGGAATTCCATAAAAACGCATGTATTGTTAATGGATGTCTGACATAGTCAGTGTGCCCGAAGTGCAATTGCTGTCGTTTTGAATTCGAAAAGTACGTACATAATTTTTTTTCCACAACCAGAAATATTTGGTTTCTACAGCAAGCAGACAAACTAAATTTACATTAGGCACAGTTACTATGTTCAGTACCCGTTTCTTTTAGGAGTGATGGTTTTAGTAAGTCGAGGGTGTATGCATTAGCCTATACCCATCTGTGTGTGAATACAGCGCGTATTTCAACGCTGATCGTTTGTATGGAGGATGACCATTTACTTGTTGTAATGTCCATCGGACAGACAATCATACAGGCAACCAGACCAAGAGTTCTTCTGGCGCCACTGCAGATTGGGCTTGGGGTCCAGCTCCAACACCACTTCGCATCACGCTTGCTAATTGATAAACTTCACCGGCTTGGATTCTGCTGCTCATACCAGTAGGTGCACAGATTTGTGAGTAATGCGGTGATGTCGCATGAAACTGCCATTCCTGGCTTCTCTAGTGGGTTCATCAAATATGCCTCAGACAATGTGGACCACAACATTCGAACTTTGGATGGCCATTACTCCTT